TGGATAAACAAAGAACCCTAAACCCTAAACCCTAAACCCTAAACCCTAAATTGCTGAACTCCCTGCAGCTCACCTGATACTCGTAAGCATGTACCCTGAAGCCTGCTATACACCACACCCCGAAACCCTTGCCCATAAACCCATGCCCGAGGACCTTTAAACCTGGAGGCCTAAATCCTTAATAAGAAAAAAATGTCTGAACCAATCGGGCCCGAACCCTAAGCCCGAAGCCCCAAACCCGAAACCCTAAATCCTAATAACTAGCTATAAATCTCGGCGGATGCGGGCCTCAGCCTCGGCCGCCACCGCAGCCCGCCGGATCTGCTGCGCTAAGGAGCCGTCTTGCTTCCTGTGCGCGAGGGGAAGCTAGGGGATTAGGGTTTAGGGTTGAGGGTCTAGGTTTTAGGGTTTAAGGCTTAAGGTTTAGGATCTAGGTCTATCTCGGTTAGGGTGTTTCTGGGTTAGGGTGTTTATGGGTTCGGGTTTAGGGCTTAAGGCTTTTAGGATTCAAGAAAGATGACGGTCTGGGGTTTTAGGGACTAGTCTTTCTAGGGTTTAGGGTTTTGGGTCTAGGGTTTTAGGGATTAGTGTTTGTAGGGTTTAGGCTTTTCAGGGCTTGAGGGTTTTAAGGTTGAAGGCTGTAGCCCTTAAAGAAGTGCGACGGGGCTTCTGTGCTACTAGGGACTCCTGCACCACAAAGGGTTTAGGGTTTAGGGTCTAGAGTTTCGGGTTTAGGGTTTAGAGGTGCGCACGAGAAGCGCGAGAGAAATGCCAAACAGCACGTGGGGCAAATGTATCTAAACACATCGCACCCCACAGTAGTCAGCAGCTCCTCTCTGCCCCACGACCCACAAAATTCGGAGCTCAATCTGACCGATACCATCAAGAACTTTCCATGTAGGCTCAAGCGAAAGATCTTCGGGTTTAGGGTTTGGGGCTCTGGCCAGCCTGACTCGCAGCGGGCTTGCTACGGCAGCGCATCGAAGATCTGTGGGTGGCAGCTGGAGTCAAGTCTTTCGGGCGAGGGCGCAGTTCTACTTTTCAGGAGTTGCTTTAAAGAGACGGTAGAGCCCACCCCCCCCCCCCGAAGAAAAAAGAAAAGGCAAGAGAACTCTTTGAGTCCGTCAACTCCGTATAGCACTTCTTCCAAGCATGGGCATCAGACTGACTGGAGCATCAGATTCCAGCCGTACGTACGCACGTCAAACCAAAGTGGCTCCAGATGGCAAATGTAAAGCACATGATCAAGACAATTCCCCATCGAAATGTCAATACTGACGACATCGTTAGCATCGTCATGGTTGCGGGGGCTGGGGTGGTGGTGGAAGCAGCACACTGCTCCCACACACGACTACAGAGAGAAAGGACATCCAAACATGTCTCTCGGAAACGAGGAGCAACTTCATACTTGCAAATATGAGGTGCATGTCTTTCATGACAGGTCGGCAATGCCTAGGCCCGAACACTCTCAACCAGAAAGGGACTGGCGGGATCAATGCCTCTTGACCCCAGACCCCGAATGAAGCCTCAAGGCCTCAAGGTTTAGGGTTTAAGAGTTGGGGCTTAGGGCTTAGACTTTGAGATTTGGAGACTGCATCTGGCTTTGGTTTAAAACCTTACGTTGCGGTTCAAGGTTTTCGGGTGTGTTGAAATGCTCCTGCGCTGCAAGTAAGTGCTGGGGTGGTACAGTAGGACTGAGAGGGTCTTCCTGCCAAGTCACATGTCTTATGTACCAATGCATCGGAAAGCTCTGCTAGATGTCTCTTGGTTCCAAGCTCAGGGTCTCGAGTTTAAGGTTCGCCCCACCTGAAACCGCCCGAGCCCCACAAACTCATTCAGATGCCTGGAGCTTTGCCGGCCGCCATTGCGGCAGGCTACCACGCCAATGCCGGCTTGAGATGAACCCTTTTTAACTTCTTTGGTCGGTGAGACACCATACACATACATGCCTCCTACGGGCAACACACCTGAGAGTTGTGGGCCTGTGGGTCTGTGCGCATGTGTGTGTGGGAAGCCGTTTCTTGGAGCGGAAGATGTAGGAAGCAGGCATGGGGTTGTGGATTGAGCACACGAGCCTGCTAAGGGATCGGCCGATGTTGATGAAACGAGCCAACGTAAGGAGCTCCTGACCTCAAACAAGAAGGCACACAAGACACTTTACTCCCTAAACCCTAAACCCTAAACCCCAAACCCTAAACCCTGATACTGTTCAGCAGAGTCTTCGATTTTCCAGCCGGGCACGAAGTGCACCACTCAATCCGCAGGTCGGGCTGCGACGCGCAGGCCTCGCACACGCTCTGCTCGATGTGGATCCACACGCACATGCACACACGCCTCTGCAGGCCGACCTGAAACCGCCTACCCGCCTACCCTCCCTCATCTTGCATGCTTCCTGAGGAAGACGACTCTAACGCCTCTAGAAACCCTGAACCGGGCCTGAGTTGGTTTCTGCCACCCAGTGCTACAGACTACACATTTCCGGCTTGAGGCACCAAAGTTTCCAGCAAGCTCAGAGATAATCAAGCTATCAAGTGAGCTGCTCCAACGTTTAGCACCGGCATATGTTTTGTCCCCCTGCGCTCCATTGAAACACTGGCGATGCATCCACTATTGACAAAGGCCCATATGCTCATGGGTACTTCTAAGCACCGCGTGGAATGTGTGCTTGGGTCCGCTGGTAAGCAAATCAGCTGAATTGCACATGCAGAGACACTTGCGGCATTGAAGTAAGTTATTGCCGATGGCTGTTGTACCCCGCGGCGTTTGAATTCTTGCCATGCAAAGGCTGCTACGGATCCTCTGTAGCCGAGGACGGCAGACCTCTACCCAAGTCTGCAACTTGCAATCAATGGCCTTGTGAAGCGTAACTACCTGAAGTGATGGACAGTCAAACACAAATGCGCTACGCTTACACCTGCCAACGTCCTGCCTAACCTGCTTCATAGTTGGCGAAGCTTTTTGATCGAGGCCACCACTGATTCAATGGCAATCTCCACTTCTGCGCCTGTTGTCATTCTCGTAAGCCCAAATCGGAGCACGGCATTGCGGGACGTATCCACGCCAATGGCTTCCAAGACGTGCGACCCATGAAAAGCTCCATTGCCTTAACTATTGTGCTACAAGTCAAGAAAGGTCAAGACATCAACAGGAGCATCAGCTTCAGCTGCCAGAGCAAAATTCGGGGGTGAACGCCGGTCCTTATCCACTGTTTGCGTCAAGCTGCACGCCGAAGAGCTGGAGCAAGACACGCGCGGAAGAATCTGCTGAAGCAACTCTCCGCCATCGATACCACGAATGCGAACAGAGACGTTGGACCAAACTCGTTCCTCATATGAGCCATTGAGGCAAATTTCGGCAACCCCTTGCTCGAGCTCTTTCTTGATGCCATGGAAGAACTTCTTGCCCAATTCTCCAGCATCTGCCAGAGAGTGCAGGAGCTGCTCGCGAGCAAGCTGCGAAGCTCTCCCGAAGCCCACGGCTAGGGGGACTGGCACCGTGCCACTGCGCAGGCCGCGCTCCTGGCCTCCACCGACCAGGAGCGGAGTCTGCCTGATGAGCTGCTCCATGTGTGGAGACACGATCAAGGCGCCGATGCCTTTTGGCCCATGGAACTTGTGGGCGGAGACTGACAAAGCATCAGCCTGCAGCTGCCTCATGTCGATGTGGACTTTGCCAACAGCTTGGGCTGCATCCACATGGAACAGGACACCCCTATCCTTGCAAATCCGGCCAATCTGCCACACAGGCTGTCGCGTGCCAATCTCGTTGTTGACCAGCATGATGGACACCAGAAGGGTTTCCGGACGCAGCGCCTCTTCGAGCGCCTGTACACGGACAACGCCATCTGAACCCACTGGAAGGTACGTGACGTCCCAGCCCAGCGTCTCTTGCAGCCGGCAGCACGCATCCAGAACACTCTTGTGCTCAATGCAAGATGTGATGAGATGGGGCTTGGCGGTCTGCTTCCCCGTCTTGGATGAGATGGCGTGAAACACTTGGTTGTTGGCCTCCGTGGCTCCCGACATAAAGATGACCTGAGATGGATCTGCTCCAACCAGCTGCGCCACCTCAGCTCAAGCAGAGGTTCAAGGATCCCAACCATCCCCAAACACCTTCCTAAACCCCACAGACTTGGGTGTTTATCGGCCCGAAACCTCGGAAGTTGAGCCCCTTCATCCACACCCTTTCAACAGCGCCCGCCTCACCCCTCGCAGCCCTCAGCGCCGTCTCAGCACGGGCACCGTGAACATGCGCGGAGCTGGGATTGCCGGGGCTGCGTTGGTCGTAGGCCGCCATAGACTGCACCACTTGGGGATCGATGGGTGTTGTCGCATTTCCATCCAGGTAGACTGGGCTATCTGCCACGGGCACCTGCAAGGTTTGGGCTGGCATTCAGTCAGCTCTGCGCACTCTGTACCCAGATTGAGGCGGCTAGGTCCCGGCTTGATCTAAATGAGGGCCCCCGTGCGGTAACTACCCTAAACAACACACAGCTGGACTGCATTTGAGCAGAAAGGATTGTTGGAAACAAAGGAGCCCACAAGGTTAGATCAACTTCCGCATGTGTTCTTCTCAGCAGATCTACCATCTAAACTGGTCTTAACACAACACCTCCTGCCTGGGTGGGATCATGTGGAGGAGAACTCAGGGCAAAGCCAGAGGGCAGCGCCGTTTGGGGATGATGAATTTGACATGTCGTCGCGCTCTCCCTAGACTGCAAGACTCTGGCGGTCCGCTCCACAAGTGGTCCAGCCCATCGTAGCATTTCGGCCGTCTTCATGTGGTTGACAAGCTTGGGAAAAGCCCGCCAGTCATACTCCTGCAAGGGCCTTCCCTGTGCGTCAGTCAGAGCTCGCCGGACAAATTGCGAGGGCAGGCCCTTGACCTTTGCAGCATCCGTCCAAACCAGCACCCTCCCTGACTCGAAAGACAGCGCGTTGTAGGCACAGCGAGGTAGCGATGACAAGTCCCCAGGACTTCAAGATGACGTCAGGCTGCCCGGCGTTCTTGACGAAATAGCCTAGAACGCGGTCTTCGACGCTCTCCACATCTGGCAAGTCTACAGGGAAAATATGGAGGTGCGCATGGTTTACCTTGGCAGAGGACGTGCTATGAGGCACAGTAGACAACAGCTTTTTTCTACCTGTCACATCCATGAAGAACTAAGCACAAGGACTTCCCACGCAGAAGCTTGCAACCAGGGCGCGCATGAGCATCCCTTTTCATCACCCGCGGCTCCTCCATGTTCAGCCACGATCGCCCGCATTCCTAAAGCTTGCTGCGTCAGCAGCCTGCAAGCCTCAATCCACGCAGCACCTTCCGAGAGCGAGGTTCGTGAGCGATAGTAGTCCGCAAAGGAATGGTGGTGAGTCCTTGTCAATAGAAGACCATACCCGATGTCTCCACCCAGCGCTGGAATCCAGCAGAACTCGCCACTCATGAACAAAGGCTTCTGCACACAATGGAACGCACACTCCTTGTGCGCGCAAAGGCCTGTCGTTAACAGTGATCCCAGAAGGTTGCGGTCTGAGTCAGAGATGCGCAAGGGCTGTGCAAGGGTTCCGCCCGCCGCCTGAACGGCCCTTACAGACGATCTTGGACTCGGCCCGGAAGTGAATCGTGGCCTCTTGGCTGCCATCTCTCCCGACGGCTGGGACGTGACATGGCGCGTGCCACTAACATCCATGGCGGATAGATGCTGGGTACTTACAGCGCTCCTTCGCTATACCTATCCCGGGTACAAACAGGCGAGTGCTCGACACAGCAGACAAACCACTTCTCACGCTGCGTAACTCAAGCACTCGGCAGTCTTGAAACTTGCTACAAGTTGCTATCCAGTACTAGCGAAGCAGCAACGGCCCTTTTTTCCGGCAGATGGGCGCCATCCAGCCTCCTGCAATCTCCTACAGGACATCGAACTTTGGGGCAATCAGCGACGCGGAGGTCCTCCTCTCTTGCAGCCACAGCACGTACGCTCCCCGCATGAGCTGTACAGTGTGGGGGTGAGAAGGAGCTTTCACCTCGAGGATGTAAGCACTGCTGACTGGAACTTGTAGCGCCCATTTTCTAGATCCAGGCTCGCAAAGCTGATGACGCCAAAGAACCTGATTCTCACAGCGAGTCGGAACATATAAGCAACAAGATACAACTCGTCTACCCCACCTGCCAGGGTCTCAACTGCAGGTATGAAACTCAGAGAGCATCGTCTTCAGGCCCTCATCGGTGTACAGCGCAAAAAACCGATTCTGGCCAGAAGGGTCATCAGGCATAGGACCCTCGAAATCGCGACCGCCATACACCCCACAATAGAAGACACCGTCTTTCTTCAACACACGCTGCACTTCCCTCAGCACGTTCGGAATCAGATTTTTGGGCACATGTAGCAAGCTGTTCATGGAATACACCGCGTCCACACTAGAATCTTCAATGGGCAAGATCTGCGTGAAGTCGCACACGCGAGCAGAAAGCCCTTTCTCCTGGCATAGTTTTACCATCTCCGGTGACAAGTCCAAGCAAATCACCTCCATTGACTGCTGGCACCAAAACTGCGCATCTCTCCCTGTGCCAGAGCCCAGCTCAAGCAGGCGATAGGAGCCCTCACCTGACCCACGGCGCGTGGCGATTTCGGAAGCGAATGCTGCCCTGGCTTGCACCTTCCAGTCTTCAACGTCTCGCAGCTTCCGTTTCTGCGCATCTTCATCGTAGAACTGCTGCAGATGGGAACGAGTGGCGGGGTCCATCGTGAGCCCTACACTGCGCCTGAGCCTCAAAGGATCACCTTGAACTCAAGATGCTTCAATCCCTAGCACTGCGCCGAATCGACATGTTCAGGTTTAGGGAGTTTAGGAGTTTACGGTTTAGGGAGATTTAGGGTTGCGGAAGGTACGCGGCCTTTTTTGTTCTCCCCCTGAAAAGTCGGCGTGCCATCTTCGAATTCGGAACTTGGGCGATGAGAAGGGCCAGACTGCCATGACGAGTATGTAATCTGTGCGGGGTTTAGGGTTTAGGGTTTAGGGTTTAGAGTTTAGGGTTTAGGGATTAGGGTTTAGGATTTAGGGTTTAGGGTGTAGGGCCTGTTTAGGGTTTAGGGTTCAGGCGAAAGTGAGTGCTCCTCAACTACACAGATGAGCCTGCACCTTCTGTCACTGCTGTGCTTTGTCAGCACTGAAGACCGGTAGCCGTCTTGCGGCCGTGCGTTCTGTACGCCCGATGCACATGAAGGAGTCATCCAGGCACAGACGATGGCAAACGAAGCTGTGTTGCGATGTGCTGGGCGGCTTTTAAGAATCCTGGGCTCTGTAGTTGGGTTTGACTGCCGCCCTGGGGTGACTGCTGGCTGTAAGCAGGGGCATCGACACCTGCGCGCAAGATCATATGGCACAGACGCATGCACGGAATACGGATTGCAGGCCATGCCAAGACCTGAGCCCCACTCGGGCACGAACCAGTGCCATGAGATAGATCTGGACGTCTGCTCCGCTTTACATCTTTAGACTTCTACACTGCTACACTCCAAACGTTGAACCCTGACTGGTTAGGGTTGCGAGTTTGCAGAAACTTGCAGAATGGGTCAATAAGTAGTAAGGAATGAGGGAGATGGCCATCGCACGGTCAGATCAGTTCCTGGCATCACGGCTTACATTGACACGGCGCGGAACGCCTGCGAGCGCCTGACTGCCCTTCTGGCTGTAGCGGTTATTGCACAAGTTTACGACCTGAATACTGGTGTTCTGGTGCAGCGCATTGGCTAAAGCAAGAGCTCCTGCATCCTCAATGGCATTTCCGCCAAGGAAGAGGTGCAAGAGCGTCGAATTTGAGGGTAAGGCCGCACTGATTGCTCGCGCTCCAGCATCTTGAATATCATTGCCGCCCAACCACACTTTTTGCAAAGATCTGTTGACCTGCAGCAACAGTGGGTCAGGGCAGGTTTCCAGCATGCAAACTCCTTTGCAATGCCATGCTTGCTGCAAAGCCAAGAACATCTCGTCTTAGGCAAGCCGCCCAACCCTAGTTACCGGTGCTAAGTGGGTGATAATGAGGCCTCTATGTAACCTGCAGTGTGCTCCAGTCGTGGAAGCTCTATTCAGTCTCCCATGCCCTCCCACCCTCCTGAGAGATCGGAAACTGGAGAGCCCTGGCCTTCAGGAGCTCTGCGAAAGCCAGCGCTCCAGATGCTCCGATCCTTTGGGGTCTCGATGTTTGGGGGTTGAAGGCTTTTGGATTGCAGGGACTTGTTTGCGTCACTTGGTCTACGCGCTTTGCCTTGCAATCTGAGCCCAAATCTGAGCCTCAATCGTGCCAGCAAGACTAGCGAGATGATCTCCACAATCAAAAAGGTGACGCACCACAATTATATGGGCCTTTCCCAAGATAGGGGTACCCCATTTCTACCCCAAATAGAATAGTATCCCCTTATACCCCAAATAGAACAGAATCCCCTGAAAGGGACCCCCCAAAAAGGGTAACCCCCATAGTGCGCAAAACCAATTTCAGTAGAAATGTGCTCCGTGAATGAGGGATGCCTCTTATGCAGCTGTGACGGAAGTCAGACTCGGAAACGCGGCCCTCCGACCCAAGGACTTCGACCTGTGACCCATGTCAAGTATGGTTTATTTACTTGCATCCCCAATACGACACAAATGACATACACTCACCAAAATTTAAAAGGGGCCCTATATGCACTCACCAGTAACCGTAAGACAAACTTTTTTCATGTCCAAATCTGTATAGGCAAGTTTCTTGTTGCCCCGCAGATTGAGCCACATCAACGTGGTCGACACTCTGAGACCGCCCAGGAGGGATGCTGCGCCACCAGGGCCGATACCTCGATGGCTTCTGCCGGGGCAATGAATCCCTTCCCCCCCTACGCCCTAATATTAGATGCTCCCCATTAGAGGTATATATTATCGTATATGGGGGGGGAGTATTGTTTTATATTTGGGGCTAGCCGGGGGGGGTTTTAGGGGGAGGGGATTATTAATGCCCTGAGCAGAAAGCTGCCTCCGAGAGAGATGCGGTACCATGTGACATGTCCTACCAGGCTGGCATTGAGGCGAGCCGAATTGGAGTTATAGCTGTCAAAGCTGTCATAGCCGATCCAAAACTTGACAAGACGAAGCTGACATCCACCACCAACAGGTCAAGAATCCACGAGGATTGTCTGTGCTTGGTCACACACACACACACAAGGTCGATTGAGGTCCTGCATGAAATTGCATCCAAGAGGCTGCTGCCGTAAAGATTCAGGTGCCACAGACCTGCGTGCCTGCCGACTCCAGGCACAAGAGCTTCCACTGACGCGCTGCCGAATTTGCCTGCGGGGCAGACGGGCTGGAGAGGCTTTGACCCATAAGAGAACCAACCAAGCAAACAACAATAGCGAAACGCAGTCAGAGACGGAAAAGGAGCTTGTAACAACCCAAAACCCTAGACCCTAAACTCAGTCTTGTCCACAAAATTGCACGATTACGCACAGTATAGTCTCGAAATCCCAGCCAACCGAAACTCTGGAACGAGGCTAGTGGTGTGGACACGTTGCGAACAGGGCGACGGTGGCGACCCCCATTAGAGCCAAGCAGCGATGTGCGATCTCCAGTTCTTGCAATGAACTGTTGGAATGCAGGCTTGCTGCCAGCACCTGCCAGCAAACATTACACTGCCAGCAAACATGACGGCAAGCGGAGGAAGATACCCTGCTCGCCGTTCAGGCAGACCTCACAACCTGCACAATTCTCTAAATCATGGACACTTTTATGCTACCGAAATCTAGGGGCCGGGTTCCCGAAAAACCCAAACTCAGGGAACGTACCACCTGTGGATGAGGCCTCCGCAAGCTGCGGTGGACACGCATGCTTGATGCTCACAGAGTAGACGGCGCTGTCCAAGCCCAAAGCACGGAAGGCCAGGGCCACCTCTGCCTGTCACCAGGGTTTAGGGTTTAGGGTTTAGGGTTTAGGGTTTAGGGTTTAGAGTTTAGGGCTCCAGAGGGTCACCTATCTTCGGAAACCCCCATCTTGGATTGCTGGCAATCTGGGCCTAGGGCTGACATAGAGTCTAGGGCCAGGGTTTAGGACACAACCCCTTAAAGCTTATTCCCTGACTCGCGCAGCGTGTTGGATGGTTCTGGGGAGGCAACATATCCCGGAAGCTTTTCCATGGCGAACCGTGGAACCCGTGCCACCTGAACTCAGGGACCATGGGCCCGTTAGCGTGGGGAGGATCTGGGCCTGTTTCCTGAGGAAGGAAAGGCTATCCTTTGGGATTACGAAGAGACTCCAGCGCGCCTTGATTAAGGAATGTTCCTTACATGATATTCCACTCCCAACTGCAAAGGTTATTGAGGTCCCTGGGTATGTATTGCTGCAAGAAGGTCAAAGGTTCATTTTTCGACTACTGAGCATCTGCTGTCAGCCTCTTCTTGGCTGTGCTCAATGATGAGGTGTGCGTTCTTCAACTTCTTCAACTTCTGGATCATCCTCTGCTGCTTTCACCCATGGCAAAAAAAACCAAGCATCTCTCTACAACAAGATTAGAAACTTTCGGCCGACAGAACTTGACCACATCGGACGGCTAAGAAGCTACCAATGCGCAGCCCAGCATCCGTCGCAAAGCAGCAGAGTCCTCCGCACTTCGAGCTTCTCCCGCCGGAGCATCCATGGGCTGATCTCTGGGCTGGTGGAGGAGTGGAGAGCTTGTTGAACTTGCTTCCCTGTGCCCAATGCTCTCCAAGCCACGTGGCGCCGCTTGTTGTGGTTCTGCCGGCGGTTGGCTCATCCATCGTCGCAGACGAGTAGCCGTAGCCTGCGTTGAAGCACTGGACACAGATGCCCTTTCGAAGGTTGATGACGCGCGGCATGAAGCTCCCAGTCCTGACACAGCCTCTTCAGCATCCCAAACCGATGCACTGCGCCCCCTGCACTGATCTAACGCCAGCTGCAGCTGCAGGGACCTGCTCTGCAATCCGGTGTGACTGAATTGCTTCTCCCTGCACGCGTGTGTACGGCACCATGCTAGCAGCTCCGACCCGCAGTGCAGCACATACGCCGGATAGCTATGGTGCGCTCCGAAAACCGTGAACGTGCCATTGTCAGACGACTTCATGCTGTGGTAATCCGGCTTCTCAGCTGCACGACCCTGGGGCAACTGGCAAGTGCAGGTCGCCGCATGATTGGCGTGCGCGCACTGCTGCACGCTTCGCCCGATCACAACCCGCGCCAAGACTAGCATGATGGATCGCCCTTTGTCTGAGCCATCGGAGCTCACTGTGGGCTCTAGCAGAGTCGGCTGACAAGAAAACTTGATACCCAGGCCCTGCTTCCCATCACTGTGGCCGCCCACGACTTGGAATCCTTGACGCACCAAGCTTTCCAGTGGCCCTCAGGTTTTGCTTGCTCTTGGTTGCACATGCCGGGCTTAGACTGAAAGAGAGTTTAGATGGGCTGAAGGTCCGGGATTCGGGCTTTAGGGTCACATGCATCAAGCCTGGCTGCAACCCTAAACCCTAAACTGTAAACGCTAAACCCTAAGCCCTAAACCCCCAACGAAGACGAAGCAAAGAAGACCCGAACATGCGGGCAAGGCTGCCATCGTACAACTTCCACAGCCAGAGCTCGGCCGAGGGCCTCTCACCAAAGTCCTTGATGCCCTTGGCAAGACCATGCGAGCTACATGAGGGTTTAGGGTTTAGGGTTTAGGGTTTAGGGTTAGGGTTCTTCTCAAGCTGCAGTGCAGTGACAGCCGCATCCTAGACATCAACGTCGTTTACTACATGTTTAAAGAGAGAGACCTGGCACAGTAATTATCGTATGCGGACATATGGGGACAGACTTCGAATTCGCAGGAATTCTCCGGCAGAACCCACTTGCTGCTTGCAGCTCGGGCGCCCACTCGCTGCAGCAGCTGTTTAGGCGCTGTTCCACTTCCGTGCGCCACACGAGGTATTGCTTCCACAAATCGGTGTTGTCAACTCTTTGCACTTGGAAGACTTCAGTGTCGAAAGGCATGCAAGAATGAAAGTAATTTGCAATTGCCGATGCTTCCCATGAAAAAGGCTGCAAAGCTACCAAGCCTGGCAACTTGGGGCATTCAAAGTCACGGTGGGCTCCAGCAACATCTGCTGTGATGTGGGATCCAGCAACATCTGCTGTCATGTTCCTTCGTCCTTGCTCCGCTGCGACATGGGGCACCAAGTGCACAGCGCAAGAGCCAAGGAGTGGGGCGGGACTGGTGTTTGGATGTGCTTGTGGCACGGAGGTCTGCGGGATTGGAGGCTGCAGAAGGAACTGATGCGATTTCGCCCAGGTGACCAGGCGAGCGGCAGCTCCTTGTTCCAAAATGCGTGCGTCCAGCTCCAGAAAGAGGTGATGACGAGTGTTGCTGCAAGGAAGGCTCAAGACACTTTGCTTGACGGCTGGAATTGACAGGCTACCCTCAAGCATCAGGCGCAGGCCTGAGAGTGTCCCCTTCTGCGAAGTCTTGAACTTTCTCGCTATGTCCTGCATCTCTCTTGGATCGTGCTGGAGCTTTGAAACCGTGCTGGGATCAAAATCTCGAGGCCAGGGATACACTGACGCAGCTTCGCCAAGGCTGCCTGCAAGCACCAAACCCTGCGGTGATCTCGCGTCCACACCAGTGGCACCTCTCGCTGCTGTGCTGGCGCTTCAATGGCATCTACATCACCAATAAGCTCCACCGGCGGTAACTCCCAAGGCCGAGTGCGACCACTGATGATGCCAACGATAAGATCTTCAAGGGCCCGGCCATCCGAAAACCAACAGCTCGCACTGTGTTGCATGAAGCGAAGTGCGGACACTCGAATTGGCAGTATGTCCTGCATGAGGAGGTCCATTGGCCACTCGCAGGTTCCAAGGATGGATGTCGACCGCAATCCAGGGCCCCGGTCCAGCTCGAGGCGAGTAAGGTCTGATGGAAGTTCCAGGGGAAGGTGAGAGCACCAGGGGACTGGAAGAACCTGATGCATTGGACGAACCACTCCCGGTAAGCTGACTGCGGCCATAGATGCATCCTCATCTTTCGCCTGCATCTCGGACAAACTGGCTGTATCGGCAACACACGCTACTTAAGGCATAGAATGCTACAGAGACTCAGGACTTGAAAGCCAAGATGACGCAGAACGCAGTGTCGACACAAGCCGCTGAGCCACAGATTGGGGAGGCCGCCATAAGGAAAAAACACGAAAAGGACTATGACCTCAGAAAGTGCCTCGGACTCTTTTCGAACACCCAAGCAAGTCTTCCACGGCCTCTGCGCGGTAGGCAAGACGAAAGGCATCCGATGACAGTCATCGTTCGCGGGGCCGGAGGTCCGTCCCCAAGCTGGGGTGTAGAATTTTCACAAGGGTTTAGGGGGTTTAGGGTTTAGGGTTTAGTTTAGGGTGTCTCTATGAGGCTCCCAGGTGAGGCTTACGGGGTTTAAAGGGTGTAGGGGTTAGGAAAGTTCAGGGTTCGGACGTAAATGAGTGTAAACCCTCCTTACCCTGCACCTGAGACTCTACAGCTTGCGAAACCCTAGCTCCAAGATCCCGGGCCTAAACCCCTTAACCTCTGAATCCTATTTTGAAGCCTAAACTCCTAAACCCTAAACTCCTCAACCCGAAACTCCTCAACCCTAAACTCCTAAACCCTAAACTCCGAAACTTTGCTCCACCAATCTCCGATTCCCGCGATCTCTGTGGCAAAGGTCCGAGGAGGGATCGACCGGGTTTTGGCATCTACGGCCATATCACGGTTCACGGTTCAGGGTATAGGGTTTGGGGTTTAGGGTTTGGGGTTTGGGGTTTAGGGTTTAGGGGTTAGGGTTTGGGGTTTAGGGTTTAGGGTTTAGGTTGGGCTTCTAGTGCTATGGCAGCTTAGACCGTCAGACTAGCCCATGAGGGTTTAAGGCTGTGGGTTTAGCGGCTTAGGCTTTAGGCGTTTGGGTGGTTTAGGGCAGAGGGCTTTGAGCTTCAGGGGGGTATTCGGGTTTAGGGTTTAATTATGGTGCAGGGTGCTCGAGACATATGTCGACAGCGCCCTAACGGTGGGAGCTAGGGTTGAGGGTTCAGGAGTTTGAAGTTTAGTAGTGTTTAGGGCTACCTGGGCTATCTACTCCTGCCCAAAACGGCCCAAATAGCCCTGATTTCTGACTTATTTGGGGAAGGTCCTTAAACCCTAAACCCTAAACCCTAAACCCTAAACCCTAAACCCTGCTGCCGGGAGCAAGAAGGAGGTTTGCGTTGGGCCTTGGGTTTCCGTGGGGCGCGTCGGGTTTGTAGGGCCTCGTGGCCTCGCATCTTAGTTTAAGGGTTTAGGGTTTAGGGTTTAGGGTTTAGGGTTTGGGGTTTAGGGTTTAGGGCTTGGGGTTTAGGGCTTAGGGTTTAGGATGTTAAGGGCTTAGGCTAGGTTGCCCAGTAACTTAGGATTCCAAAGGAGGCCCTTTTTTGGCGTTAACGGGTTTACAAGGGAACCTAAACCCCACAAAAAGGGAACAAGTGTATGAAAGGGCATCCTAGTAGTGTTAAGCTAACCCAGGCCGTTCCCAAACTACAGCGGAATGACTGAGCGGGTAAGCTCTTGCAGCGGCGCTGCCTCTGTACAGTGCAAGCTGGGCGAGTAAGTGCAGAACATCTTCCACTATAACATGTCTAAGCACCAACCCCAAAAAACCTAAACCCAAAAACCTACCCCAAAACCCTAAACCCTAAACCCAAAACCCTAAGCCCCACTTCATCCCTCAAGACCTACATGGAACCCGAATATTGCCTGAACCCTGCAAGCACTCCTTCACAAAGGCCTGAGGTTCAACCTATTGGGAGCATTATACTGTATTGATACAGGAGCCTAAAAATGCTGGTTCGCCTGGCAGAAACGGACTCCATTAGGTAGCTCCCTAAACACTGTAAACCCTCAACCCTGAAACCCAAAACCCTAAACCCTAAACCCTCAACCCTAAACCCTAAACCCTAAACCCTAAACCCTAAGCCGACCTTTCAGGCTCCTAAATTAGCTTACCAGGCACTTGAGGATGGCCTTCTAAGGGCCTTCAAAGGCTGAGGATTTACAAGACTTAGGGTTTAGGGTTTAGGGTTTAGGGTTTAGGGTTTAGGGTTTAGGGTTTAGGGTTTAGGGTTTAGGGTTTAGGGTTTAGGGTTGAGGGTTGAGGGTTGAGGGTTTCGGGTTTCGGGTTTCGGGTTTCGGGTTTCGGGTTTAGGGTTTAGGGTTTAGGGTTTAGGGTTTAGGGTTTAGGGTTCAGGGTTCAGGGTTTAGGGTTTAGGGTTTAGGCTTCGGGCTTAGGGCTTAGGGCTTCGGGTTTCGGATTTGTAAGGTTGAGGGGTTTAGCGTAAACCCCCCCCCAAGCCCCCCCCCAAGCCCCCCCCAAAAAACCCTGCAATCTACGACCTACAACCCACACGTCGCCCCCACGAAGCCTCGCTCTGCTCGCAGCAGACCTTCTCGCGTCCAGCACGCAAGAGGCCCCGCCCAGTCGATCGTGGGAGTGTTGGGAGTTGGGCCCCGCTGGCAAGTGAAGAGATGCAAGGTTTGGGGGGTCTCTGAGAACTGAGGAGACCTGTTTTCGATATTTCTGTAATAGGCAATAGGATTCTAGCATTTCGGAATATACATGTATGTACAGAATGACATGTATTGGGGGGGGGTCCCCTACCTCGGGACATACCCATTTGCCTCAAGCACAATTATAGTACAAAAAACGAAAAATATTCCCAAGTACCCCGAAGATGAGATATCTCGAAGCATCGTTCACCAGGCAACCGCCACGCCTACTTGGGAGGAGATGCGGATGGCGATGTTGTCAGACGACGTTGTCTTCATTTCGCGACTAGCCTACCTGAAAGAACAATGTAGAAACGACTTCTGGGACATACGGCTGCAGAACCCAACTCCTTGCCCGTCGGATGCAGCTTGGGCCGAAAAACCTACCCCTAACCCTAAACCCTGAAAACTGAACCCAAAACCATTTTAAAGTTATCGACCTCCAGAGGCACACATGTTCTTATTGAAGATAAGCTTGGGGGAAGGGGGATTGGGGCCGGGGGGGGGGGGGGGGGGGGGGGGCCGGGGGTTAAGTTTAGGGTTTAGGGCTTGTAGGCCTTATAGGGCTTGTAGGGCTTCAGGGGCTTACAGGGCATAAGGTTTGGGATGGAATTCGCAGCAAGAATATAGAACTTTCGGACTGACGGTTTGAGGTCGTTTAGGGTTTAGGGTTTAGGGTTTAGGGTTTAGGTTTTAGGGTTTGGGTTGAGGGTTTAGGGTTTAGGGTTTAGGGTTTACGGTATTTTTTACTGTGGAAGCCCTACGATGGCCAGAGCTGCATCCGACCGCGATTCCTAGATTCACAAAGACGAGTTGAGAGCGCCACCTTCAAGCTAGATGAGTTCGCTCGTCGCTCGCGTTCTGCCCCTGCACTTTTCGGCGTGGGCTTAGGGTTTAGGGTTTAGGGTGTAGGGTTTGGGGTTTAGGGTTTAGGGTTTCGGGTTTGGGGTTTGGGGTTTGGGGTTTAGGGTTTAGGGTTTAGGGTCTAGGGTTTAGGGTTTAGGGTTTAGGGTTTAGGGTTTAGGGTTTAGGGTTTAGGGTATAGGGTTTAGGGTTTAGGGACAGACTACTTCCAATGCCCCTTACACCATCATCGTCCATGACACTAACCCGAACCCTCGACTTCGTCTTGAGCTGTTCCATGGCGGGGTGACCTGCTGCATTGCCCGTCGCTGATGCCCAACTGCATACTTGCAGATCTACTTTCCGCATCTGCTGCTTACACCCTGGACCCGAAACAGACACAAACGTAGGAACCCACACCGGAACAGACGCGAGAGGTCATGCATTGTCAGGCCGAAGACATAATGGTGCCATGAAGGCTTCCTATGTCGAAGTGCCTCAACACTAAGCCCTACACCCTAAACCCTAAACCCTGAACCCTAAACCCTAAACCCTAAACCCTAACCCTAAACCCCAAGCCCCATTTTCAAACCGTACCGCCCGCATGCCTCGGCAAGGGGGTTCAGAAGAACACGGGGGGCACGGCAGGCTCCGAGGCAGTCGTCGCGGCGGCCGGCACAAAGGAGGGCTCAGTTCCTGTCGCCTGGCTTATGGCGAGTGTTACCCGAAACCCTAAACCCTAAAGGCTTGTTGGGGTGTCAGGGGTTTATGGGGTTAGTGTGGCGGGTTTCATAGGGTTTATCTGGGGCTTGTAGGGCTTACTGGGTTTCAAGGGTTTGTGGGGTTTGGGGGTTAGAGGGTTTGTATTGCTTAGGGTTTGGGCTGTTTGGGGGCAGTTGGGGTCTGTCGTGAAGGGCCTGGGATCCCGAAGCACCCCACCCCAGCGGCCCGTACGAGTCTGTAGGCCCCAATACCCCTACCCTCTGCGGATTGATACAGATTGAGGGTTTAGATGGAGAGGGGCGGGGGGGCCTGGATCATTATTTTGCAGGTGAAGTATCCAGGGTTTCGAGCCCGAAGCCCCATAATCCCTAAACCCTAAACCCTAA